GAAACAAAACACACCAGCCAGATTTGCGTTTCGCCTCAAAAGCAAAAACAGCAAAACAACGACAGACCGGGGCCAGAGCCCAAACAAAAACACACACGTCGCCACATAGGCACAGAGGGAACCAAACAATTCCCCCTATGCCATCCGAAAACATGCAAAGAAACAAATTACTTCCACAGAAAAACGAGTTAATGAATTCAGCAGCAAGATGCAGTCACGCATTGGTGATCAAAAGCTGTACAATGCAAGACCTATTCCTCTCAGAGTCTGCTCAGAAGTGCTTTATCAGGTCATCAATTTGCATCCGCGCTTATACCAATAGACCCCAAGGGCTCAGTATATGCTGCAGTTCTCTGCGTTCTGCTTGCTTCAGATGCCGTGCAAGGCCCTCGGAGGGGATCCTAAGAAAACGCCCCAGGGGGGGCAAGGGCCACCCACCGGCCACGAAGGCGAGTGGAAGTGTCAATGCATAAACCAAGAGAGACAGCTTCGTGTCTCTGCCAGAACAAGTAGGTGCCCGCACAACAAGAAGAGGAACACCGTGCACCACCATTAAGGCTGTACCATTGATACCGTCAAGCTATCTCCATGCTCATATTCGTCAAGTAGGGAGCTGATGTGGACCACAGTTAATACAGAGTCCACCCTGGCAGGGGTCAGTTGTATCTAGGGGCCCTCCGATGGTGGCAAAGGAGGCCATTGCGCAATACAAAGGACCTCTTTGTCTATTGATGTGGGCGTGTGCCACTCAGGGCCAAAATCTGATGGTGTACTATCGCAAAGTTCCTCCGTAGGCAGTGTATCTTCATCAAAATTGCAGGTCACACCACTGTTCGTGCATCGCTAGCGTAAGACTTCGCTGTACGATGGTGCTGAAAAATCAAAGCCACCAAGGAGCAACAATCTAGTGCAGAAAGCGAATTCGGCCGAAGTGGGCTGTTCAGTCGCAGCGTGAGGATCTTCGCCTCACAAGGGTGACCGCAGCACACTGGCAGGATGGCCTCAACTGTAAAAAAGGTGAAGTAATAGCACTCCCAGCGCACCACGAGTTCGAGACAGCGAGCCATGAGAGCAGGCTTTGCTGCACGCGGGCGCGCTGAGATTTCACTGCAGAGCGCAGCACTGGGCAAATGAATGGCCAGTGCTACTCACTGCATGTGAAAAAGCGCCGTGCACAGATCTGAAGTCAGATCCAACGCTTCATCAAAATTTCTACAGGACTACGCAGGCAAACGCGTGCTTTCCCGCGAACATCAAACAAAAGCGCAGAGCGTGTAGTCGCAAACCTAATTACACTAGAACACTGCCGTGTCAAGAAAACTGTTTCACCCTCGACTCCCACATGCTGACGTCGGACTCCTTCTTTTCGCTCCAGACGCAACACGATCAGTCACAGGGAAACACAAACACAACAAACAACAGACAAAAAGCGAAACAAGAGAAAGTTCCCTCTGTCGGTCTGTCTTATGTCAAGTTAAGTGACACTGCAGCTCTTGTTCATTAAATGAACTTCTGACACCACTCCCTTGAGCCAATGTCTCAACTGGTAAACTCGATTCCAGGTTTCCAGTTAACAAACTTCAGGTTCTTCAAATAAAGGTTTGGTGAAACAATTCCAGCTGCTACAAACCTACAAATGCACTTTTCCACTAGGTGAACTCAAAAGGTCGAAACACTTCCAAAAGTTCTCAAAGCAAACTGATTCTCATCCAAACGTGAACAACCAGCTAACTGACGATCACGTTAGTGTTAGCGCCAGCTTCTCAAGAACGAAGTGGTTCATACAAGGTATTCTGTACAACCTTCTGAATACAAAACATAGACATAGTCGGAACACAACGTTCCATCTCCAAATCAGTTCTCCAGATAAAGATAGCATCTCCTAGCTTCAAACCTCAATGGGGAACAGAATGTTCTGTTCGACATTCACAATGTAGGTCAGCCAAATACAATTGTATCGCTGTAGTCTTTCGACCACTGTAATAGGCAATCCACAATGTAAAATAAAGTCGTGGAAGGACAATGTCGTCCTTGTAAGTGATGATCAAAGTCGTACCGAAACAATGTCGTCCTCGTAAGCGACAAGCAAAGTCGTCTCAGAGGACGATAAAATACATAACCTAAGACCAGATAAATGATCTGTAGATCATGATGAGGATGATGTTGGTATTGTCCTCACAATACCGAAGCATCTCACCACACAAATCCTCAGACAAATAAGATGAGCAAATATGGTCATTGTCCTCACAATGCCAATGCATCTCGATGTCCCAAAACTCAAAGTCTGATATATTCTCTCCATCAGATATTTCCCAGCTAACTCAAACTCTTCTCCAAGAGTTTCCAGCTGCACGTTCTCATCACTTGGAGAGAATAAACTGCTCGGTGTCGAAGACACAATAAGAAATCTCAATGTCAAGCCAATGTAGGTATCTTCAGCTCAAGCGATAAGCTGTACCAGATTCGGGCAGAATCCAGAATAAGATGTAGAACTGATCAATACACCACATTCCAGGTCAACATCGATCACTGACACTCTGGGTGTCACAAAAGACTGCAGATTCAAAGGACAATAGGATATCGTGTCCAAACTGCAGGTCCACTGCACAGATCTCTTCAACAACAAGCTGGATGAATTGTCTACCAATCTTCCGTGCATAAAACTGTACCACGATGAAGAATGACATGTCGCTAGTCACCCTTACCCTCAGGGTGCTCAACTTTCATACCCCCTTTCGACATGGCATCTCATCTCACTACATTACTACATTGTACGGATGTTCAATCCCGTGTCGGTCCAGTGTGGACAAGGGATTGAAAAGAAAATATCTCTGAGTCCAGATCACATTCGTGATCAAAATAGTCAAAGAAGAATACGTCGCTCTTCCAAAACAAAAGATAGATGATGGAACATCATCCAAAAGCTCATCTCGTTTAACTCGTACTCAATGTCGTAAGTTCCAAACTCAAAACTCTTCCGTTCAGAGACGAAAGTAAAACTCACGTAACTCCAGTCATGACGATCTTCATGACATATAATGTTGTAAGCACAAATCCTCGTCACCAGATGTATGAATATCAAACTCAGTCCACAGACTTCAAAGTCTTTCCAGTACCAAATTTGTCTTCCGACTTCCAGATCTTCGGATAAACCATGGCGTCAATAACGCTATATCTACAGCGCTGTTGTCATCCCACAACAAACAACACAACAACAACAACAACAACAACAACAACAGCAGCAGAACAAACACACACACTAGACAAGAATGGATCATTATATGATCCGGCAGGAACTGAATCCTGAAACATGCAAACCAGCCTAGATCGTTAGATTAATAAAGGAGCCACGTGAGGTACTTCTCGAGAACGATGTAGGGTATCCAATATTGTCAAACGGAGTTTTAACCAGAGTCCACAAAGTCTTGACCAACATGTTGAAAATCCAAAATAATAATGTTTCGGCGATTGTTTCCCAAAATAACCCAAAGTTCATCGGCGACATGATCTCGGCGAAAATATGTCAAAAAATCATAATACTGTCGGCGACATGGTTTCGGCGAAAATCTGAGGAAGGTTCTGATGCATGCAATACAGATTGTGGCAACCGTGTAGATTCGAAACAACGCAGTGTAACAGCTTGGTCAACAGTTCAAACAGAGTTTTGCAGGTACAAGTGGTTGATCAGACCACTCATCCACCGAAACGCCATAGCTTCGTTGGACTGGATAGGCAAATCGGCTCCAGTCCCCCTGCAAATATGAAAAGATTCCCTGCAAATGTGAAAAGATTCGAATCCAAGAAGTTTTACATCTGTTCAGATGTTACACACACACACACCCCGCGTGTAGCGGGGTTTGATTTTTTGGAAGACCATCACTGCAAATGTCGACAAGATTATTCAAATACAAAAAGCTTTCCGGTGCTAATGTACAGAGCCGCGTTCAGTCACTCAGAAGGGAGGTTCGTCTCAGCTTGAAGTGTTTGGATCGCGTCACGGAAGCTCATGTCCTCCAGCATCCTCCACGTGTCGTTGATTTCCCCCGATGCCATAGCAGCCCTCAAAGTGATTGATAGTTGTTGGGCCAGGTCCTGGATCTTCGGAGTAAAGCGGGTTGCCTCCGTAGGTGCCGTGGTCTCAATGGGAACATTATGAAAAGTTATTTCTAGTGAAGGTGGTTGCTGGTTGAACCTAATTACAAACACCAATTGCAACACATGCCACCAATCTGAAAAACATCCGAAACCAAAACGCCAATGTTCCTGCCAAAAAACGTCTTGCGCAAAAACGGACATCACTGTGAAAACGCAAAACCCTGACATGCCAAACTGTGGAGTTTCGAACGCTCTGTCTTTTTAAACACCAGTGACGACGGGCTGTGCAAGTTCAGATCGTCAATCTGTCGACCCAAGGTTGTCATCTCCAGTTCAAGCAATTGATAAATCGCCAGAAAATATGTAGAGGCATCAAGCTGAAATATATCCAACTGTTGCATTGTGTCATCCAGTCGATCCCCTGCGTCATCAAGTCGATTTCCAGCGGAAGTCTTGGGAAAAAAGACAAACAAGGGAGGGCTGGGTGGGGCAACCTCAACCAAAAAAGTATGAGGCTACCCGCCACCCTACCCTGCTAAGCCAGAAATGTCGCACATTGTATTTTTCAAATGACATCCTATATCTCCCATTGATCAAGTACCTAACACTGCATAGCATGTCTGGATATCCACAGACCAAAAACCACCATCGAAGATCCTGTACCAAGTTGACTGCAAGGAAACCACTGAAACTGCAGGAAGTCGAATTCGTTCAAAACATGTTGTTTATTTGCAAGAGAATCGTTCTTCGAGTGATCCCACTGCAGCGAAGGAGGAGGCAGCACAACCAAGAGGAACAACCAGCAACACGAAAACAAGTTTTCTCACCAACACTAGAAATAAGGAGCTATCAACAAGTTGACCGCATACTTATTTCTAGTGAAGGTGGTTGCTGGTTGAACCTAATTACAAACACCAATTGCAACACATGCCACCAATCTGAAAAACATCCGAAACCAAAACGCCAATGTTCCTGCCAAAAAACGTCTTGCGCAAAAACGGACATCACTGTGAAAACGCAAAACCCTGACATGCCAAACTGTGGAGTTTCGAACGCTCTGTCTTTTTAAACACCAGTGACGACGGGCTGTGCAAGTTCAGATCGTCAATCTGTCGACCCAAGGTTGTCATCTCCAGTTCAAGCAATTGATAAATCGCCAGAAAATATGTAGAGGCATCAAGCTGAAATATATCCAACTGTTGCATTGTGTCATCCAGTCGATCCCCTTTTAACCGCATCTTCTGCTAACACCATCATGATTTCCTGCAGAGCCTCTTTGACATTTGTTTCAGGAACATTCTGCGCCATGAGCTCAGCTACATCTCCTCGTGACGGTTCATCAGCAACATTTGAGGGCGTAGGAACCCTGGTGTACCAAGGTGTGGTGCAGCTGGACATTTCTAACTTCAACAGGAAATCAATCAACAAGTTTGCTGTAAAATTGCGACCGTTTCCCGAGATGGCAACATCCCTGGCTGAGTTGTTGTCCACAAAGCAAATCATGGACATCGCCGATAGTACCTCCTTCCAAACTGAGAAGGCGACTACCATTGCTAGCAATTCTGATTCAAAGATGATTGTCTTCTTCGTGTCAGCACCGAGAATTCCCATTTGATCTTCATCCAAAGAGATTGAGAAAAATGCCACCTTGTTTGCAAAGGGTCCGACAAGGACTCCACCTAAGCCACACTTCCATTTTTCTGCAGTTGGTTCATAACATGCGTCCGTGTATACATGCCACACCTTGTCAGTGCACAAGTGAATTTTTCGAGGTTCTGCATATTCCAAAAATACTGCAAACCGGCGCAGAGCTTGAGCTGTTCGATTTGACACTTTAGCATTCTGAAACTCGCAGGTGTGATTGGAAACTTCCCTCATGCATAACTTTCCCAAACGACCAAAAAGTTGCCCATCCATGAACTGCATTCTCCCTCTGAGCCTCTGCGCCTCTACCAGCGTCATGCTCCCCTTCTGCAAGATGGTGTTGATGGTATCGATCAATTCATTTGCTCGCTTCTTAGTGTTGGTGAACTTCACCAGCCCCTGAGGGCACTCATCCAAAATGATTCTAATGCCCAGGGCTCCAAATTCTCTTGCGAAACTTTCGGCTTTCTCACCCTCTTCAGCAAATCTCCACCCCAATAGTTTGAAAAGCAGGGACACAGCCTGATTTGTATTGTTGACATGCTCATCTCTGGCAAACACGACATAATCGTCAAAGAAGCAACTCCATATGAGATTAAGCGCCTTCACACCTATGTACCATATGGCATTGGAGAGTCTCAAAAAAGAATATACACTTCTTGTTGCTCCAAACGGCGCCGCGAGCAGCTGAAAGACCTCTGCCTTGGCCTTCTTGGGGTTATATACTGCAACAAAAGCAAACGACAGCGACTGCGTGGCTATTGCTAGTTGCTTGTATGCCGACTTCAAGTCAAAGGACCTGCCCATCAAGGGCATTCCTTTGTTGCATTTCAAAACTTCCAAAAGCATGGCAGCTATGAAATCCGTTGAGTGTGGTTTGGGTGATTCCACTGTTTGTACCGTTTGATTCACACCACTGGCACTGAGATCATCTATCAAACGAATTTTCCCTGGCTGCCTTAACCCGAACCTCCTGCTGACTACAGCGTCAGTTGGAAGGTGATCCAATTCAAGGAGCCCACAAGCCCAACCAAATTCCACTTCCTCCAACGTCTTGCTATAAACCATTTCATCGATCTCCCCATCACCCGAAGATGAACACTTGTAAAAATTTAGCAATCTCTCAGAGCGACTCGCCTGACTGACTTGTTCAATCGTTTTTTCGGCTGGCTTGAACGCTTTCTCAAAAATTCCGTAAGGCTGTACCTCACCAACCAGCTCTGTACCTTGTACCAGCTCATCAAATGCTCCAACATCAGGGTAATTCAAGTCCAATAAAATTTCCTTGAAGAGTGCCAACCTTTTTGGCTCCAAAATCTTTGCAGCATGCTCTGGTAATGCCTTCTTGATTTCCATGTCCTCATGTCTCAATTGCTTTGCACGCTCAGTCCATTTTGCAAACCAGAGGCTTCTGTCCCTAGGGAGTCTATGCAAACTGCCTTCACAAAAATTGTTGCTGATGGCTTCTTGCAAAACACTAGGCACCAATCGCGAAAACAACCTGGGGTGACCTCTTTGCACTGCCTCCCATATGAACTCCTCTGGCTCGAACGGAATGCCCCAAGCTTGCTCAAACAAACCTCTCGGACATTCGTCTCATGGTCACGCAAGCGTGTGAGACCGGTGCGCACGCCGACGAGTATTTCGTGAGCGTGTGGACCGTTGCAGAAAACTAATTAAATGCAGGCACCCGCATTGACGAGAGACGCGGGGAAAAAGCAAATTGGGCGGAAAGGTCCTGCAAAGCCGCCGATGGCAAGAGGACACGCCCATTGAACCCAGGACAGTCAAAACACGCACCAAGAGTGCGAACGGACCTGACCTGAGACAAGTGCCGGGACCAAGGTACCGCGACACCTGCCTTGAGGATGGCATCGAAAGTTCTCTTCCAAGTACGGAACATCGTCGCGAAAGATGGAATTGCGAACTCCAAAGTAGGGTCATCCTGAACCCAAACCCACTCATGATAGTGCAAAAAGGCCGGGAGCGCCGACGTATCATGAACATAACCCCAGAAAAGTTCAAGCCACGAAGTGTCTTGAAGTTGACCCAAGCTACCAGCATCTGCAACCGGGGCCCAACGGATCTCCCGCATCCAATTAAAAAGAGACCGTGCAAAACCCTGGTGACAAACAACGGGATGGATGTCCTGTTCGAACTGCAACACAGACCTGGGGCCCACTAGGCTGACAGACCCGACACTGACCGGTTGCCGCACAACCGGGGCGTTCCTGTCATTTGCAAAAAGTAGCGCCACTCCAGCCTGGAAAGAGAACAAGTCCTTAGCCGTAACGAGTTGGTGACGAAAATCCTTCACAACGTGCTGGAAAAGAGGGGTGAAGTGGCCACTCAAAGACTGCTTGGCAGCAAGGTCAGCCCAGTGGTTAAACCACGCGTGGATCTTAGACATTCCAACAGCAGTGCGATAGTTGACATGCCCTTTGATCCACCGCACCTGCACATCTTCGAGGTCCATCCCACGGACAACCGAGAGGAAGTAAGCCCACAAGTCTTTGTTATCGGCCGGCAGCACCGGTGAAAGACCTTCCTTAAGCTGCAGCAAAAGCCTGGTGGCAATGCGACAAACAGACAATGAGTCGGTAAAGACCAGAGCCTTTCGAGCGGAGCCCAGGGCGCACGACACCGCCAGAAGCTCCGCCCTAAAGATAGTCTGACAAGACCCGGGGAGTATACCATGCCAAACGATCTGGAACGTCCCATCTGAGAGGGCCCTGAGGGCAGCCCCCGCAGCAACCCGAACGGTCGCGTGCCGGGGGAACAAGCAAGCGCCATCAGTGTAGAAAACCTGAAAGTCGGGAGAGTCGCACCTTTGGATATGAGGCAGGGAGAAGGTGTCCAACCAGGCCTGCCAATCACGCCACCCTTCCGGCTCGGGGAACAACCCGAAAGTGGTCGTGAACTCTGGCAACTCTTCCCACTGCCGCATCAGAGACGGAAACACCGTCCGCCAAGAGGCGGCGCGCGGGCAATCACGCAAGCGGTGGACACGGGAATCAGGCGAACCACAATGCACACAATACGCAGCTGACGCGTCGATGTGCTTAGTGAATTCCCCGGAGAAAAAGGCCCCAACTTGTTGCTGCAGTACCAAAGCCTTTTCAAAAGGAAGCAAATGCCGGGTTGCCTGCGAAAGGGGCACACAAATGTTTTCAAGTTCATTAAGATATTTACGGTGCCGAACCTGAGCAGCAACTTTCTCAGTCCAGGTGGAAAGCACCAAGGCCTGGACATGCTTCAGGGGCGTCAAGCAAATGTGAAAAACCCTACCGGCAACGTCAGCAAAAATCCCGTCACCTACAAACGTCCAGCCAATAGCTTGCAACGCATAAACCAACAGTCTAGAAGGACCAGGTCTGCGGGAGTGTAAGTGAAGCCCATCAAGGAAGAACTGTGCCAAAGCCGGTAGTTCTTTAATAACTTGCCTGAAAAGCTGCACCCTATTCATCGCCAAGACAAATTCGGGGTCAACACATTTGTAGGAGGCAAGCAGGCACGCCAGCCAAGGTGACGCACCTTTGGGTCTACACCCGATCGCCCGTGACGCACCTGAACGCAAACGTTGCATGACCGTTTTAGGCGCGGACGACGTTTCGGCCGCATGTAATGCATGTGGAAAGATACCCGACAACAACAATCGGGTCTTGCGAAAAACAGACCCTGGCAGACCATGTAACCTGGACATGCGGCCAAGCCCGGAAGTTGTCCTTTTATTTCTTTCCCTGGCGGCCTTCTTGCAACAGTAAGAAATATCTGCACCAAGTTCACGGGCCTGCAACTTGACCGGGACCTTTTGTTCCAGAAAAAGGGCCGCACGAAGCCTACGCCTACCTGCGGCACAAATCGACCAGAACCAACACTTGGAGGGGGAGACCAAAAGCTGACACAAGTCAAGAAATTTCTCCACCACAGGGATTGCACGCAACAATTCGAAAGCAGACCTGGCAACCAGCTCCCAATTGTCAGCATAAGTGATGCAAAGAACCTTGGCCGGACCTGTTTGCACAAAATGGTCAAACGCCTTCGCAAAGACAAACATCCCCACCACACTCAACGGATCCCCTTCCGGAATACCTGTAATTGAGCCTGCGCGACCAAAGACAGCCCCTTCAACCAACACGGTCCGGAAAAGTTGGCGCAGCATGGCCAGCCAGGCGTCCACCACCTGAACAGGGAAACCGAACCTCACCATGAGGGCCTTCAACAAACAAACCTATCCTTGAATTTCCAGTATCCAGCATACCCCCACTTGACCGTAGGGGTGTCACACGCAACAACTGAGCTCCCTTAGGCAACATCGGCACATCAGTCTGACAAGAGTCGGGAGCTGGCCAGCTAGTCTTGAGACGTTGCATGGGTGCCACTGGTGCCTTTGCTAGTGCCTCAAAAGGCCCTGTGATGCGGACAATGGTTTTGTGCTCCCGCACAACAGGAGGAAACTTTGCTGCTTTTGGCTGGGCCGTTGCAACTGCGCGCATGGATTTCAGGGACACCTCATGTTCATCTCCGAACTGTTCTTGGGGTGGACTCCACCCATGTGATACCAAAATTGAAGCAAAAACTCGTGCTATCGCCTGTGTCAGTCCTAATGGATATGCTGTTTCTTCGCTTGTTGAAAAATGGGTGCCTGAAGCTGAGTGCACCAAACCCCAAGGCTTGTGCTGATGGGTGTCTGATGTGCCTGGGCAGAACCTGCATAATGAAGAGAAGGCTGGATGGTTCCATGCCAACACTGTCCATTTTGGTCTAGCTCCTCCGTACGCACAAGCCTGATGTGCTGTATACTGCATCGGTGCTTGAATCTTTTTCCAAAAGTTTGTAAGCCAAAACAGTGATGACCGCGGATTTTCCACTACAACAATGAGACCCAGCTCATGCGCCATGTCTACCACTTTTGCCAGAAAATCATAAAGCCTATTTGCAGCAGACACCCTAGCTCTATCATTTGGTCCAAGGCCTGGTAGCCCTTCGGGCCAAGCTGCCGAACGGAGAGGTCTCGGCCCAAGCAACGCCCTGCCATGTGAATCACGCAACTTGATGTTCCTGGCAAGTGAACAGGTACCGCATGGAGGAGCTAAAAAGACTCCCACCACCAACGGGGATTTCAACCACTGCATGCATATGAGTTGATCTGCAGGCAATGTAAGGTCCAGGCGTCTGGCCGCTGAAACTGCTTTGTCCAATTTGTGGTCCACCCCAAAAGAATCCCTAAAACCAACTGCTTTGAGACTGGCCGTCAAACGTGCACTGCCACAAAAAATTTCAATCACCACAGGGCATGTCAACTGTTCAACGCTAAATGCAAAACCATCAGTTGCTGCTGCTTGCATTTCAGGCTGGCCCGAACCCAGGCTTTGATTTACTAAATCTGGCACTTCTTCTGAGTTCTGAGGGCTTGGCTGAACCTGCACTACAGGTTTATCCACAGCTTCTGCTGCATCACTTGACGACACAAAATCGTAATCCAAACTGCTGTCAAAATTTGTCCCCTGCACAGGCTTCGCTGAGTTGAGACCATCCACTGTTGTCGCTTGCATGGATTCATTAAATTTGCTGCTCCCAACATGCTGCATGCATGGATTATTGAGGGCAACGCTGAAATACGGAGAATCACCTGAAAAATTGTTTGAAACTTTGCCATCACCAATCTTTGAATCCTTTTGCAGTCCTTCCACTGCGAGTCACAGGTCAGACTCATGTTTTTGAATCCCATGCAACCCATAGCACTTTGCACACACATGTAAACCTCGCCGACACTTGGCTCCGTCGGCTGCATCTGGGCAACCTGAACTGCTGTTGTAGCCAAAACAGATTGGGTCGCCTGCTGGATTGGATGAAGTGCCGCCCAACTTGAAGATGTGGTTAGGAACCCTGACCTTGCCCTTGCTTCCTTTCTTTCCACCCTTGGGTTTCAACCAAGGTTTCTGCACATGCGAGTTGGATCCCTTGCCACCATGAGTCACTGCCGGCTTCGATACCTTTGACGGTCCAGGTCCAGTGTCTTTCTTGGCTATCAATGGCAGCAAAGAAAAGGAAACTCTATAACTCTGGAGACTCTCCATGAGCTTCACATCCAACGCTAAATCACCTGATTCATCCCTTTTGGGTTGAACACCCTCCTCCAACAACATCTGCCACACCGTCTTGTCGGCCGACACAAGCTGACTCACTGATGTTCTTGCATAGCCCGTTGGTGGGTCCCTATGCAAATGTCCAAACAAAGTGGTGAGGTATCTGGTGTAGCTCTCATGAGTGACCAAATCCGCGAACACCAACGCTATGCCTCGTCGCTGAAAAGCTTCTTGTACTTGAAGCGCTGAAGTGACCGTCATATCAGGAGTATCCTGTTTTTCCTTCACAACCAGGTTCTCTGCTGAAATGTCCAACTGCTTTGTCGGGGACTTCTGATTCAACACTTCATGAGTCCTTGAAATGCATTTTTCAGGAGGGATGTATTTGATTTCATTGAGTTGCATCATACTGGCTGTGGTGTCCAAAAGGGAATGTCCAGGTTCAAGCGGTCCTTCGATGAGAAGGCCTGTCAGTCTTCTTTTAATGGCCCTCATTTTGGTTTCCCGCTCAACCACGGGTACCTTCTTGATTGCAGAAGCATCCGTCGCATTGACCTGATCCTGTAAGGATGCTAGGACCATTGTTTGACTCTCAAAGAGGAGACGTTTGGCCCCAGCAACATCAGCTATTGTTGCACCTGTCAAAAGCTGTCCAGTCACCCAAGCTTCGAAACCTTCATCTGAGATGTTTTGACCAGGTTGGCCATGGGCATATGCAAACGTACCAAATGTCTGCAAACCAGTCCTTTTAAGGCTGCGTTTCAACTCCTCCGACAATTTCAAGTCGATTGTACGCTGGATAAATTGTGCCTCAGAGTCCAGCAAGCTTGCCATGGCGGCAAATTGAATCCTGAAAGCGGAAGAGATCTCACACCAGTCGACTTGCACGACAAAATGTTTTACAAAGTTTTAATTCAAAGTGTAACCAAATTCGACATGCCAACAACTCACACCAATGCAAAGCTGAAGGGTTCCAAGACATGTCCAACACCTAATCGTGAAAATCACTGAATGTCTGCAACATGTCTATCTGAACCACCGTGCTCATGAGCCACGCTCCACAAGCATCACTCATCACATCAAGTGCCACGCAACCTTGATGTCTTGTCAACAAGCGATTTTAATGACTGTGACCCAATTCTTTCACGATCACTCAGTGCCAAAGAACATGTAAAATAACAAAATCCAAATTCAAAATTCTCACAAGATCTCGCAAAATGATTGACCCTTGTCACAACAAAGTAAGGGTGCCACGCAACCCGTTTCCATCTCACCACGTGAGACACTCTTTTAACCCAATGCTTTCGGAAGTGCATTGTCTTTCACTGCATTGCTCTTGCAACGCTTGCACATATCTACAGTGTGATCCGTGGCCCAGGATCCAACTTTCGGATCGTCTTGCGCATCCAAACCCTGTCTCAAGAAACTCTTGCATTCTTGAGTGGTGATGCAGAAACCTTACCACCCCGGGCCGAAAGAGGGACACATAAAGGGTGGGAAAGAGCACCGCGATTGGGTGGGCCAAATTTCTTGAGTAGGAGGGCTCTCAGAAGAAACAACTCAGATTCAAAGTTTTCTTCCTGATTCCGACATGAATTTTTTCTCCCCTTCTTACGGGGAGAGTGTGGTCCCCCCTCTTGCGGGGGTGGCGATTGTTTGTTGTTTGAATCAATCCCCCATCTTACGGGGGCAGCACCGTTTGTTGTTTGGATCAAACCCCCATCTTACGGGGGCAGCACCTGTTTGATGTTTGAAGAGAGTCCCCCGTCTTACGGGGGCAGCGACTCTAGTTACTCTCCCCTCTTACGGGAGTAATCATCGGGAGGAGGAGATCAGCAGAGCCCAGGCAGTCAACCCAAGCAAGCAGCAAAGAGAGGAGATCCTTCTTATGGATCGAGGACCCACCCCCCCACCCGACTTTCCCTCTTCCGTGAAAGCTTGTTGGGCATTCGCCCAACTACGCTTTAACTCAGTCGGGAAAGGTAGAGGTGGCGCGGTCCTACGTTCGCTCGGACGCTAGAATCCTCAACCATGACAACCGTACAAAACCCTCAAGACATCACTCTCTCAGTGCAGTTAGAAGCTCTTTCTTTTTCCGCCAGTGCTTTTTGCTCCAGGGTTGTGTGATCCGTGGCCCAGGATCCAACTTTCGGATCGTCTTGCGCATCCAAACCCTGTCTCAAGAAACTCTTGCATTCTTGAGTGGTGATGCAGAAACCTTACCACCCCCCTTCAGCGAAATCACCACTTGGTTTTAGATGCGAGCTTCTGCCGTTTTGAAGTTTTCGGTCGGGCCACTGGATGCTTTCTCTTCTCCTCTTTCCAACCCTGGACCTCCTCTCTGAAGGCTAACAGCCCTTCCATCATCGTCCAGTCCAGCTGTTTCCAACTGACCTCGCAGCGGTGCTCCAATGAGAATTTTTCGAACTTCAGGTTCGTCAAGTCATCCGCCTCCTCATTGGTTTCTCGTGGCCTCCACTGCAGCTGGAATACTAGACCATGAAGGAAACACTTTAGGCCCAGTTGCATTTGGACATATGACAAAGGGAATTTGTTGCTCCCCCCCTTCCGGGTGATGTGCTCGGTAGCCAAATTGTCGGTGCCAGCCTCCACAACCACCCTTCGGGGCCTGCTGCTCTTTCTGGAAAACCCAAAGATTTCCAGGGCTGTCAGCGAAGCGAGTAGCTCCGCGGTTGTGCTTCGTGATGGCACGTGCTTGGTCTCAAAGAGCCAGGGTGCATCTTGGGGGAAAATCTCCAGCGCAAACCACCGGGCGCTCTTTGGATTTGCGCTTTCTCCCAACTCCCACCCTCCGAGGACGATGCGGCCTTCTTCGCACTTTGCGTCCGTTCGGAAGGCTTGTAGCCCACCCCGCACGGGACTACGGCCCGAGGTGCGGTGGTGCCCTTTCCTCAGCATCTCCGCGATGAAGAGCAAGATCACCGACACCGTCTGCGGGAGCACTGCCACTGTGCCGTGGGCGATCGCACCCTTCCACGCATGCAGAGGGGCCATTAAAGGTTTCATCCAAACAAGGACTTGCCCCGCGTAGACCAGCCTTCCAACAAGTTCTACAAAGCTGCGATGCGTGACCAGGCCCCCATTGCGGCGGGCTTCTTCCACCCATTGGACGATACAATTCGTCCTCCGCTCCGAGAGGCCCACCTCGAACTTGCAGTAGTCCATATAGAAGCCCACAAATTCCAAGCAGACGCCTCCTCTGAATTTTGGCCATCGGAAGGGCGTCCCTAGCATCAGCCATGCCACCAGCATGTACCAAATCTGATCGTACTTGTCCTCACCTGCCGCCACCATCTTCAAGTCGTCGGCAAACAAAAGCTGGAATGTCTGAGACTGTCCTCCCAACCGCATCACCAGTCTCCCCAACAGCGAGGCCAGGCGGGCAAAGTGATATGCCGCGCACGCCACACCAAAAGTGCCCACCCGGTTGAACCATATAGGGCCCTCCTCGTCCACTCGGCATCCCAAGAGTCCCACATCTTCTTCCCGATGCTTGAACCTCCGGTGGGCTAAGGCAATGTCCGCGGCCACTGCTACCATCAGCCGGAAGCGCATCCAAGGTCTCCTCCATCACCGTGGCACTGGCTTCTGGCCCTGGGAATTCTAAGCGATCCTGAATGGTGATGCCATTGTTGACCTGAACAAAATGGGTGGCGTCAAAAATGACCCTCACTCGCTCATCGTCTTTTGGAATCGCCCCGAGTGAGGCCACACGCAAGCGGTCTCCATATCGGCGACGCGCCTCCTTTTCTGAGAGGGGGAACATAAATCCCAACTTCTCCTCCTCCTGGAACTGCACCTCTATCTGTTGGGAGTGCTCCTTGGCCGATCCATAGTTGGAGTTCTCAGCCCGGAATTCGGACTCATCATACTTCCGCTCCTTCAACTTGGGCCTGAAAACCAAGGGGACCCTAGGGAAGGTGTGCTCATACCCAACCATGCGCCCTTCACAATAATTGTCTGGTCCCGTGTCCAGGATGTCTGCGTCCTCTTCCCCCATAAGCCGGGCAGTTTGCGCGATGGCGTGCAGGTAAAAGGGCTGTCCCTCAGGGATTTTGGCGGCCTGTGCCGGGGAGGGCAGGAGTTGAAACCAGCGTCTCCGCAGCGCCTCCATCTGTTCTTCTTGGAATGGCGCCGCCGGCAGCTTTCCAAGGGCCAGTGCAAAGAAAGCCCGCCGGGTATCAGGGATAACTTTGTGGGTAAACTCTTGTATCAGACCAGCCAATTGCTGGATGAAGTGCCTCTCCTTCCCTTTCTGGAAATTTCTCCTGCATGGGGGCCATCTACCCGGTGAGCACAGGCCACAGCCATCATTGAAGCTCGAGGGCGCCCTGGCATGCCAGTCACATACCATTGGCATCCCCTGGTGCTCGAGAAGGGCCCCTTGTAGTTTTCCATGAAAGCTGTCCTCCTCCCTTTCTCCTATCTGACCCCCTTGAGTTTGGGTTTGAGGAGCCCCAGTTTTCCCCATGGTTTGCCCTTCCCCCCCCCGCAGGCGTAGTAGGGCAGGCCATGCCATCTCGGCAATCCATTTGCAAGTTCCGGAGGGTATGTTGCCGATGGGGCTGTAATCCATCGACCCTCCTCATCCTTACCTACCAAAGCTTTATGTGCATTTGGACCATGGGGGCATTGCTTGGGCAGAGGGCCCAAATAATTTCCTTGCGCATCCAACTTGTGTAAACCAGGATACCCGACTTCTAAAGGATCCAATGTTGTAAGAAACCGAGTGGGCTTTGAAGAAGGAGCAGAAAATTCACACTGAAAAATCGCAAACGTACGAACCCCTTTTTGCAGCAGGAGCTCGGCCGTCTCTGGAAGATCCCAAATACTGGCGGGGATTTGCCCGGCCGTTCTCCCCAGTTGCTCTGGGTGTTCCAGAAAGAAGTGCTTGTCCCGCTCGCATGCCAGAAGGCAGCCTGTGAAAGATTTCTGCACCAGTTCATCGGCCAGCTGAACTTTTTCTCGGTTGGCATCGCTTAGCCAAGGATACCCATGTGGGAAGTTGAAATCTCGTAGCGGACGAGGACCTCCATGTTGCCGATATTGACAGCGGGCTCTGCTATGTGTGTTGCAGGGCGGTGCCACCAAAAACAAATCAACCAGTCCTTCTTGGAGCTGTTGTGAAACCCATGCCCAGACTTCCTCCTTATGGAGGTTATGTCCTTCGTTTCGAAGGATGTCCAGTTGCAGTCCTTTGAGACTTACATTATCTCGCTTTGCCAGCTCAATCAGGTAGTGTTGCACATCAGCTTTGCGCTCCACGCCAGCAAAAAGATATAAAACATGCATTGTCCGGGAGTGTTTGTCACCCTCATGCCAAACTTCCCAGGTGAGACTGTCGCTCGCCGTCTGTCAGCGGTTGGCCTCTTGGCCCGACGTCGCATTCACCTCCTTTCCCTTCTGCTGCGGGCAATCATGGCGGTTATGCTTTGGTGAAAGGCAGAATTGGCAGACGTGAACTCGCCCGCAATTGCCTCTGCATGTGTTCGTCTGGCTGTTGAAGGCATAGCAAACTTGTCGTCCATCTGGGGTGGTGGAGTAGACGAAGCCTGCTCTTGAGTCGGCGCCCAAACGCCCTTTGCGCGACTTCCCCTTTCCACCACCCTTTGGTCCTGGTCTTTGCTTGTTGCTCCCTTGGGGCTCTCCACCCTTCCATTTCCCGTAGCTTCCCCCTTGTCCTGTTGTTGAGGCCGAAGTTGAACTGCGACGTGCCAACTCCAGGGTGAGCGGTGTCACAAAGTAGGTCTCTTTCAGGGACGCATCCGCCACGACTTCCTGGAAAGTAACTTCCAAGGGCCTCCCTTCACGGGACGTACGGCGATAAGCTTCTTTCCGTAGCTTATGCTCAAAGTTGATCATCAAATCCCAGCTTGGGCTTGCGGCCATGGTTTGTGCCGAGCCGTCACCCCGGGGAATCTGTAGTTGATAAATTTTCTCCCCCAGCAAGAAGTCCACGTAGCGCTGGAAGGTCTTGGTGGTGAGCCCCTCAAACCAAGGTTTGTTGCGGAACCTGGCTGCCAGCATCAACATCGTATTGCATTCGATCTTGATTTTTGACCGTAGCTCTTCCGAGTTCACTGGCATCTTGGCCTTCTTTTTCTCCTTCACTATCCTCAGCCTTCCGCCTGAGTCCAGGCTGCTTTGCAACTGGCCATGTAGGTCGTCTTTGACGCAGCCAATCTCGTCCAGGGAGCTCGCCTGCAAGTCGCCCCCTTCCACCTCCTCCAGCTTCACCGCCAAGTAGTCTGGAGAGGGCTCTTCTCTCTCATCCATGGCCCCGAGTTGGCGTTCCACCGCCACTCGCATAGCTTGGCGTTCCGTCTGCAGAAGCGGCTTGGGCAGGCCTAGTGCCCTGGCCTCGGCTTTCATGCCCCTCTCTTTTTCTGAAGTGTCGGAGGCCTGTTGCCATGCAGCAACCACCGCTGCCAGAGCTGCACGTGCCCCCGCATTGGCGGCGGGGTCTATCCCCAGATCTCTTCCCAAGGCCGTGCGGGCCTCTTGCTTCGAGTCCGCAATGGCCGCAAAAAGTGCGACACTGTTATAGTTCTGACCCAAGTCGAACTGTCTCTCCAAGCTGACTCTCATCGCTTCCCATATGTAAGTAAGATCGGAGGCTACGTTTGCCGCCAACCATGCCCTCTGCTCCTCAGGTGTCGGGGCTGCCATTGCCTGAAGTCCGACCGACGCGCGAGGCAGAAGACGTGAAGATCCTGTCCATTGATGTCTTATGGCAATCTCCTATCCTCTTATGCGGTTTCTCCAGGAAGCTTATCTGGAACAAAAACCCTAAACCCTATATGCAGGGAATCTGCTCCATTCAAGTACCCTACACGCACTCAGGGAGTCTGCTCCGTTCAAGTACCTTACACTCACTCATAATGAGCCCAGGTTTGACGCTCATCCTTCTTGAGCCTTGACTGCATCGAATGCTGCATTCTTACCAGCATTGGACCTCTTACATCCTTGGGCGTCTTATGCCCTCTTAAAATTGTCGTATCCCGCATCTTACGCGGGTGGCCATTTTCTTATACCAGACCTGCCTGCAGTTGAAGTGCAAAAACCCTACAACTGCAATGTCCAGCGGTCAAGTTCCTGACCAAAACCCTTACAGACTGCACTGTCAAGCAGTCAAGTTAATGACAAGAACCGTGCAAACTGCAATGTCAGGCAGTCAAGTTCTTGACCAAAACCTTCTAAACTGCAATGTCAGGCAGTGAAGTTCCAGACAAGTACCGTACAACTGCAATGTCAGGCAGTCAAGTTGTTTACAAAACCTTCCAAACTGCAATGTCGAGCAGTCCAGTTTTGACTCAAAGGGGACCGCTTTCACCCCTCTTTTTCTCGCGCCTAGTGCTCGTCTTCCGTGCTAGTGGAGCTACCTGAAGTACTGGAATCCTCGTCCTCTTGCTCGTCCAGCTCCTTCTTGAAGCACACTCTGCACCATGCGTCCACTCCCGTTTTGGGAATAGTCTCCACCTCTTCATACGTGGCCACTGTCCAGTACTGGACCCCGCATGCACAGCTCTTTTTATGGAGCCTCCTGAAGCCCGTCCTTCTGGATATGGATATCCAGTAAGGGATCTCCTTTTCCGGGTCAGTGGAGCCCCTCGGTTTGGGTTTCTCTTCCAGTGGCACCGTCTGTGCCCATCCTGCCACCATCTCTTCCAGCTCATCGTCATCCATCATCATCTCCAAGGTCGGGTATGGAGTCCTCAATCCATACTTGTGGTCTGGCAAGCGCAGCATGATGTGGTACCACCGCTCATCTGCCTGGGTGACTCCACGTTCCCTTCCATAGGTCTTCAGCTCCTCGATCAACTCCCCTTCAGTGAGCCCGACATTTCCCTCGCAGATCGCCTTGTTGACCTCCCTCTGGATGGCCGTCACGATCTGCTTGGCGCTCAGGACATAGGCGTTGGACTCCTGAGCCCCTGCCTGCCACCTTCCCAAGTAATCCCTCTGCTCCTTCGGGATTCCAATGTTGGCGGCGTGAGTTGGCAGCCAGTGCCTGGCGCTGTGGCCACTCCAGAAATTCGTGACCTCGCCAGAAATAAGCGGCTCACCGCTCTCCATCCAGGTCCTGACATTCCGGCCACCTCTCAAGGGTTTTTTCACCATTGAAAGTACATACCTCATGTAGCTGTTCAAATTTTGCGTGTTGAGGAACTTTCTTGCCCCTCCCGTCCAGGCCGTATTCGGCCCCGGCAGAAAGTAGTCCCTGTCGGACTGAAAAGCCTCTGAATGGAATAGTTCCCATCCTTGCCCCAGCCAGTCTTCTCCTGCTAACGAGGCATCCCTGGCCACATACGTGGGGACTTCCACAGCCCGCCGTCCCGGGCCTGTAGTTTTGGTGCGGCGCAAGATCATCCTCACGCACGTTCCACTCATATGCATCCTGGCTGGGTCGATCCATTGCACATCGTCTGCCCTCAAAACCATCCAGCACATAAGCAGCATCACCCATCCGATAAGGCGGGTGTAGTTGCAGTAGTCAGCACTGCAAACCAGCAGTTCCAATCCAATGAGGACACTGATCAGGTAGGGCTTCGCCGGACGTTTCGGAGGGGCCCCTGTTTGCAGCTCCATCTGCATATTCTTGATGTAATCCAATAGAGTACGGTCCTTGGACAACTTCGTCCTGTCATCGACGCGCCCCACCGTCTCCAGAAGTGCCAAGGCTCCCATGAGTCCTTGCGGTGCTGTCGGACCACATCCATCTTCTATGCGACCCTCCAGGTAATCCACCACGTCGCTCAGCTGCGCTGGCCAATGCCTCATCCTGTTGAGCAGCAGCCAGATGTAGTATCGCTTCCAGGTGGTCGCTCTATTCCGCAAAGTCTTTGCCCTGCGGCTCCCGAAAATCCGGGACCATCCCTTCTGCTGATCCTCTGACTGCTGGATCATCTCCACCACAGGGAGCTCAGCCGCCTTGATGTACTGAGCCAGGGTCAGCGCCCAGCGGCGGCGCTCTTCCTCCGCCACTTGCAGAGGATTTCCCACCTCCAGTGTGAGATTCTGGTTGAGGCGGCTTTTCCGCACCTGCCGCACTGGCATAGCCTCTTTCTTCAAGAGACTCGAAAAGGTCTCCTGCAGGTCGCTGGCCTTGACCTCAGGTTCTTCTAGCCTTGGACGCACCAACCTCCGTGTCATCAGGCGCCTCTCACGCTGCATGTCTCTAGCTGTGTGCTCCTTGAACTGCCGGAGGTCATGCGCTATCAGCACCTGTTCTTCTCCCAATCTCGCAGCTACATAATCTGCCAAGGATACCAGGCCTCCAGGTTGGTCCATTGCCTCATGCAGGACTTGTAGATTCGCGAAATCAAGTGCGAGTATCTCGCTGATCTCCTTCCGTAAACCTGGAAACATGGCACCACACCGGCAACGCTGCGCAGCGCCCCACCTACCAAATTTCTTGAGTAGGAGGGCGCTCAGAAGAAACAACTCAGATTCAAAGTTTTCTTCCTGATTCCGACATGAATTTTTTCTCCCCTTCTTACGGGGAGAGTGTGGTCCCCCCTCTTGCGGGGGTGGCGATTGTTTGTTGTTTGAATCAATCCCCCATCTTACGGGGGCAGCACCGTTTGTTGTTTGGATCAAACCCCCATCTTACGGGGGCAGCACCTGTTTGATGTTTGAAGAGAGTCCCCCGTCTTACGGGGGCAGCGACTCTAGTTACTCTCCCCTCTTACGGGAGTAATCATCGGGAGGAGGAGATCAGCAGAGCCCAGGCAGTCAACCCAAGCAAGCAGCAAAGAGAGGAGATCCTTCTTATGGATCGAGGACCCACCCCCCCACCCGACTTTCCCTCTTCCGTGAAAGCTTGTTGGGCATTCGCCCAACTACGCAGAGTCAAACTGGGTTGTGTACTTATAGTTCTGGTTCAGCGACCTCCCACACGAAATCATGCGGGCGCCTTTTCCGTCCAATACTGCAGGGTCAGAGTAATGGACCAACTTTGACACATTGTGCATCACAAACAAGCCTGCTAACGGTCCAACTGCATGGTGTCTAAAGCACTTGACTTGGGGCTTTGGAACCTCCTCTGACGAGTCTGAGTCCTCCACAGATTCTGAACCATCAGATGATGCTTCAAAGGGTTCGTCATCAATGACCACAGCCTCCTCAGGCCCCAACAATGCAGTCTCCGGGTCTGTCACCTCATCTTCGACCTTGACAACCTGGCAATCCACAGGTTCTGTAGGCTCCACCGTCACTGACGCCACTGGGTGGTACCCAGACCTGGGAGCGTCTGGCAAAAACTCCCCACTGTGAATTTTCCTCAGCACATCTTGAAGTCGATGCACCGCTCCAAAAGCAAGGTCTCTGGCATAGACCGCACTCGACTCCAAGTAGGCACTTGAATGCCGGCCCAGGATTGCGCGGTCTGCTGGACTCATTCCTGATTTGGCTGCCCATGATAACAAGGTCGCTTTCAGCGAGTGTGACGACACCCTCGGCTCACTTTGGTTCACATTGTCACCTTCAAGCATGAGCCGCAAAAACTTTGTCACCTCATGTGAAGTCAGGCCACGCCGACAGTGGGTGTTCCCATCCGACCCCGGTGGTCGAAAGAAGGGCCCTCCAACACGGCCTTCAAACTCAAGCCCAAAATTTTCGAAAGCCACCTTTGCAGCTGAAATCCACTCACAACCGGTGATGCCCACCGCTGGAATCACTATAGGCAGAAGTCTCGACTTCTGAGCTGCTGACCGGGCAGTTTTGTGGGTTCTTGTACTCACCTCCATGTACCCACAATCATCCCCAAAATCCAGGGCCACCTCCTCAACATTCTGCAAGTCGCTATGCCGACAGCGCCCATACAAAGCAACCAAAAGATATGCGATGACTGCTCTGTCCACTGTGTTGCAATCACCATCTTGCAACTTATCATGCAGCCACCTCACCTGATTGACGGTGAGCACACGGGCCTGTTTCAACGGTGCTTTTTCTGCATGCATGATCTCTGCAAGCCCTTTGAGTCGCCTGCTTTCACAGATGGGCCCCAAGCCAGCAAAACCAAACACATGTACTGCGTATGCACATGCCGACAAAAAACTGGAACCTCTGGTTGGTGCTGCATTCTTCTCACGCAGCTCTGTCAAATACTGCCACGCCTCCATCTCGGAAAACTCCCTGCCATCGTTCTCCGACGTCTCAGCCCTCCATCTGATGAATTTCAAAAGGGCATTTGCACGGGTTATGGCAGTTGTCCTGGACCGGATGCCAATGACAGCTTCTATAACTTGAAAGGCCCCTTTTTTCTGAATGTCCATGTTCCCAAGGCCAATTATGTCACGGCCTACTGCCGATGCCAACATGTTGACCCTGATTATGCAAAACCACTTCTCCACAGCTGACTCCAAAAGGCTCTGTCGTTGCTGAAAGAAAGACTGGTCAGAACCTGAGGCGAGGGCATGCTCGAAATAAGCACCAACCAACTGTGGCCGACTGCACATAGCCACTGACAGCTCATCAAGTGGTTCCACTGCAGCTTCCATGCAATGCTCAACCCACTGTCTTGGCTGTCCAGCCCACTCCAGTCTGCCACTGTCAGGTTTCTTGAAAATGCTTTTGAACACACCCTTTTCCCATGGCATGCGGACCTTCAGAGACCCTCTTGTGCTCAAAAACGCATGGGACAGGAACTGTTCAAAATTTTCCTGAGACAACGTCGGTCCTCGAGGAACTTGGCTTGCCCCTAAGTCAATTGCGCCCTGAGTTTTGTCAAGCTGCCCTCCTGCACCATGCACAACACTTGAATCATCTAAATCACTGTTGCAATGCCAATCTGCGGAACCAGGCCCAAAGACAACCTCATCTGAAGCTGCAGCCCCAACTGGGTTGCCAAGGCTCCCAACGTCGAGGTCCACTCCAACACGCTGCCAACCATTGTCAGAATCAACACTGGCATCATCTGAACCACCGACAACATACTTAGTCAGAGTCTTGGATCTCCACGGCATGCCTGCTGGAACTCTCAGTGATGCTGCTGCTACTGCTCAATTCTTGGTCCCACACACCCCCACCTTGACCGGCAAGAACCAGCGCAGGTTGAACTGGAGGTGTCGGCACTGAGAAACCGGATCCCTGATAATGGATGCGGATTGCAGTTGCTGTCAATAAGAGGTCTTTGGTTTCCAAACACAAGTAGACACAAGACTGCAAATATCTTTGTGACTCCTGCGGTGACAGCAATGACAAAATTTCCGAGTGAACGGCGAACCAGCCGGGAAAATGAATGATAAAAGCGTTCTGAGGGTCACACTCCAAGAAGCGCTCCAAGCTAATCCACATGTAAAATGCCAAACAACAACCACCAAATGAATGCCACTGCTGAAATGAAACCACAGGAAAAGAAGATACCGTCTCTGAAGGTAATCCTCACTGGGGCAACTGGCACCGGCAACAGCACCACAGGACTCGACGCAGCAACGCGTCCACGGGCTCTGGCGCCCATCCACCGCGCGGCCCAGTGTAACTAAAAGAAAAACCAGAAACTGATCTGCATGACACTCCAAAAAACCGATGTAAACCAAACAAACATGCAACCAAACAAGTTGACATGCAACCTCAACCAAAAAGTATGAGGCTACCCGCCACCCTACCCTGCTAAGCCAGAAATGTCGCACATTGTATTTTTCAAATGACATCCTATATCTCCCATTGATCAAGTACCTAACACTGCATAGCATGTCTGGATATCCACAGACCAAAAACCACCATCGAAGATCCTGTACCAAGTTGACTGCAAGGAAACCACTGAAACTGCAGGAAGTCGAATTCGTTCAAAACATGTTGTTTATTTGCAAGAGAATCGTTCTTCGAGTGATCCCACTGCAGCGAAGGAGGAGGCAGCACAACCAAGAGGAACAACCAGCAACACGAAAACAAGTTTCTCACCAACACTAGAAATAAGGAGCTATCAACAAGTTGACCGCATACGATGATGTCCATGTACTAGAGGAATCTCGAAATGATGTCGCCAATAATCCGCTGTGCGCAGTGACCACTCCCAGTTGCCCGAAAGACCGTAAAAGTAGTGCTCAGGATCACGACATTTGGAAAGCCCTGACAAGGGGATCTCTTCAATGAATAGCTCCCTGGTATTGTTGGAGTGGGTAATGATCTTGAATTGGATCTGGTGAACCACGCGGGAAGAGAAGTGAGCACGATGGAGGTAGTGGTATGCAGGACTTTGCTCCGTCGGAAAAGGGACATCAGGAGGTGCGAGGCCTGAATATGTATCAGAATGGGCCGTAGTTCCAATGTCAGTAGTTGTACTGTCAGCTGCTAAAGGTGCCGAAGGGGTCCCGGTAGTAGGATCAGGAAGACCAGAATGACATAGTGCGGAAGCCTGGGCGTCTGGTACTTGATCTGGGTTGGTGGGAGCGAGTCCACGGTTGGGATTCGAAGGCCAAGCCAAGCCCGCCACGGTAGCGTCTCGTTTATGCTCCATGGGTGAAACGATCAGAAATGCGTGAAATGGTGCGACAAAAGCTGAGGCATCATGAAATTGCGAACATAAGCCAAGCCCAAGAATAATAATAATGATAATGATGATAAAAGTGAAGTCCGGTCATCAATCCAGTGGTTCAAGGTTCACGGAAAGGACATAGCTCAAAGCCTAACAAGATGGAAAACAGAGAATCCTTCGTGTTGAAAAAGTATCATAGGTATAACGAAAAACCCTCGAGCATGGTCTTTTTTGGCCAATGAGCGTATCAGGGCAGGATCACACCGGGGCTAACCTTGTGGCATCGCAGGCGTAACACGAAAGGCTGTGAGGTACCCGGGACGAGCAAGGAGGATTCGAAGTAGTTGTACTGTCGTAGTCGCCATTCGGGTCGGTATTCCTCCAAAAGCTGCAAGATCGTCATATCATTGGGGACTTGAAATGTATCACCTTCCAGGTCGCAATAGCGAAACTCCAAATTCGAAGGGTCAAGCTGGATGTCCCATTGGGTCCTCAATCTTTTTGAAATACAGAAACGTAGTTCTCCAGTGGGAAGGAGGCCTGCTTCAACTGGTTGCATCTGACGCGACCAGGTGAACAGAGCTTCAAATTCGTAGCAACTAACATTTTTGAGATTTGAACTAGCCAAAGCCATGTAGTGTTCACGGTCAGGTTCGCTGCGATGAGTCAGTTCCTGTAAGGGAGAGTAGTCGATCAAAATAAGGACAGGTCGGTTTGGAGGAGGGTTCACGTGACCAGGAAGGCCTCGGGGTCCAGCAAACCATCCAATGGTGCGGGTACCCAGTGGTGTCTCAATCGTGGATGTAGCGCGATATGGATGGGGCCGAGAAGAATGAGCCATGGCGTCGAGTGTCGAGTTTCGAGTATAAAGCGAAAAGCCCAAGCTGCAACATAGAAGGACAATGACCAAGGAATAAAGCCCAAACTTGGAACATGGAGGGAAACGGTATACCTAGTGAGTAGTCACAAATCGACGTGTAGTCACGGTGCTTTTTTCCGATGCCGACAAATAATGTGGTGTATTACACACTGGAGTCAGACATATCCATCGGGCCCATATCGTTCGCATCCAGTGGACCATGTACTTGTTGAGGAGGGACGGTAGGGCGATTGAGATGTAAGGTACGTTGCAATGTTGCCGGTGGTGAAGAAGGTGGTGTAGACCGCCATGGTGGCCAATATAAAGAGGTGGTGGTTCCTTGAGAGTGGTGTTGGGCAGAACGTCCCCAGCATGACTGTAAAATATGGAGTTGGTCCGGTATCGCTTCGTACGGTTGGGAGACATAGACGTTGGAGTGTTCAGGGTGTGGTAGAACAGGAACAGCAGTTGCCGTAGGGGAGGAGGATGATTGAATTGGTACGTCATAGTATCGGCGCCAATGGTTAGCCGTGGTACGTAGGGTAGCAAGATCGTTGGTGAGGTGCATGTTCTCCAGAAATGTTTCCACTGGCCTCCACGTTTCAATACCATCAAGTGTCCTTTCCACGATCCAAAGTTCATCCGGACGAGTAGACAAAGGATAGCTCAGCTTCTTGATGAAGACGGAATGGACGGTTGTAGAGGTTGGGATCATTCGCGCTGCTCGGGGAATATACGATGCCGAAGTAGGATCATCAGGTGGCAGGTGTGGGACTAGGCCATGTACGGATGTAGGTGAGGAACGGTGTGAGACCAATCGAGCAGTATCATCCGTGTTGGAGGTCATCATGTACAGTAGCAATAATATGATATCGAGATACACTGAACTGAAGCCAAAAAGCCGTGGGAAAAGGTCAGTGATGGAAAAACGAACAACGAACATCGCAATATGGAGAGAAGAGAAGCAAGGGAGACAAAAGAAACCCAAAACCGGGGTGGAGGACATCATAACGAGTGCTTTTTCCTTTCCTCATAGACGTGAGCGTCTCCAAGATCTATCTCAAAGGCTAATCACTCGGCCGCTTTAGTGTATCTGGTGGCCGTGATGAATGGATGCCCGCGGGGAATCACTTGAACATGGACAGCGAAGCCTGTGTCCTGTGGATCTGGATGGGGTGTCAGCAACAAAGGTGAACACTCCCGGGTCGTGAAGGCATCGAGATGTTGATGAGTTTTCCATGTCGGGTAGAACCAGTTCAAAACGTCCAGGAGAGAATGAGGGAGGTCGTCCAGCATCTGAGCTCCTTGATCGGTGTCAATCATCATGTAGAAATCGGTCGCTGGTAGGTGTATCGACCATCGTTGTAACAGCGTGTCGGTAACCACGGTTTTGAGGTCTGAAACGAAATGACTGCGAGCATAATCCGGGTAGATCACCTTGAACGTCTGGAACAGGCTGTCATAGGTGGCCGTGGAGAGGTTGCCCGCGACCTTGGGGGCCAGGATGTTGTAGTATGGGTTGCGCACGGCAAGTTGCTGCATCGGCTTCAGGTCCAACTGGAAAATAACCGGTCGGTGGGGTGTCGAAGGCGGAGTCCGGTTGGGTGGGTGTTGAGATAATGAAGACCCCATAGCGGAGGACGGTGCCCTTGTTGGAGAGCGTGATCGTCGTGTAGGGGAGATCCTCTCGTGGGACATAGCTCGCAGTTGACAATAGCGATCCAGGTGAATGCGGAGAGACATAGTAAATGGCTGGCGGGTTGTATGATATGGCATGTCAACGTTTCAATGGAGCAACAATGCCCGAGTTTGTGAAGATCAAAAGATTAAGAACGAAAAATCTGTAAAGACGAGCAAAATTGGGTAGTGAAGCTATAATACAGTGCCGCAGGCCAGCTTTTCCTTGGTGCGCATATGTCATTGGTCAGCCAAGTTTGTCTTTGATCTTATTCCACATAGAGCGAACATCTTCCTCGGACTTGCACATCTTGGTCGAGATCACCCGCCATGAAAATCGAGACTTCTCGTCCGCCTTCAAAGTACGTAGTTTCTGTTTGTCTTCGGAAGTCCAGAGTGACAGTGGGCTCGAGGAGCGGGATCGGGACTGGTCAAGTCGGCGACGACGTTTGGCAGGCGCTTTGGGAGCTGATTTGGCTTTCTGTTTGCGAGTCGGCGGTGATGGTGTTCTGGTAGAAAACTTCGAGGGTGCAGGTAGGACTTCAGGTGACGGAGCGGCAACGTGGTGGTGTGGTTCAGGGAGATGAGTTTCCACCAGTTCATCCATAAGTGTCTCGTCCTCCACAATATCCGGCGACGGGATGTGGGCATTGTCAATGAAGTCGTTGGTCTGGTCCGAGTAATGTGGTCGTAGCCCATCAGGTTGATTCCATACGTCTGTGCTGGGAAGAGGTGTAGGTTCAATGTTGGGAATGAGAGTGGGTGGAAGTAGCGCCATTGCTCGATGTAGTAGAAGGTAAGCATGGTGAACGTCATGAAGAAATTGAAGAAACACTGGTTCTTGAATCGGAATGGACGTAGTAGGAGACGAGGAAGCCATGACGAAACGTCGAATATGGGCCAAGAAGTAAATGAAGCCGAGTTTGAGGGTGAGCCAGCTGAGAACGCAGTAC